AAAGGGAATTGTTGATGAAACCAAAACAGACAACTGAATAATTGCAATCTGAGTTTGACTGGTCAATAAAAAGGTGATTAGTGTTGCTGGCGTCGAAGACTGGTTCTCTATGAACGATCATCATCCAATAGTTTGTTACGTATGGGTCTTTGTCCTGTAACATTTAGCGGGAACGGTTCTGTCATGTCAAATGTCACATGTTTGTGTTGATGCCACATGCGAATTATATATAACATCGGTAATCCATCTATGAAGAGTAGCTGGTCAAACGGTTAGCAAGCTGGACCCTCAATCCTCAAACCTGGGTTCAAGTTCTCATTAAAGTTATATTTCTTTTAGAGGACCATATTCCCGTCTTTAGGCCTATTGGGGATATAGGGCTAAACCTATATTTTTTTCAAGCAATCAGCACTTGTTGGGTGATGTGGTCAGCATTACGCCCGCCGCCTTGACTTCCTAGGACTTTATCTGTTACAAATTTAAGGCTTCATCGACCAGGCAACCAATGTCATATATTAAACAAATATAATCAGGTGAGAAGCAGATTTGAGCCCATGATCTTCGGATCGGCAGGCGCCTTGTAGCAGCCACACCACAGCAGCTGTCCCATATTTTAAGTAGGGAGCAAAAATAATAACCTAACTATCACAGTTTATGGTCAGTACACTAACTATACGGCCCCATTATTAGTAGGTCAAAGACGCTTCCCACCTACAATGCTAAAGAAATGGTAAGTAGAAGCGACTATTTGCTGAATATGCAATTTACAATACAAACCACACTGAGCACTGTCGAAAGCGCTCCCAAAAAAATCCGAAACTTACATTTTCGCGCCATGCAATTAACTGGCTACCTGGGCGACAGAACTATATGTTTTCTGTTCACGCGTCGGGAGTCGGGATGGGGGGATGTGGGGGGGGGGGGAGGTTGGGCAACAAAAGGGCTACCAATAGTCAGAAGCAAATAACTTGCTATGATTAACAACAGCCAGCTGTCTATTCGCCATAATGCACTGCATGTGCTAATGTTAACCGGTTACAGGGATAACTAACACCATTTGGCAGATATACCTATACTTTTGTCTACCGAGGCAAATCAAAAAAGAACTGAATTTTGGCCCAACTTGCTGCTTAAATTTTCAGACTTGGACCCTTGCGAATAGAGATGGGATGTTAAGAATATCTGCCGCTGTAACAACACGAGGAGATGACATTAAAATAAAGAAAACTGAGACAGACGGCTTGAAACCAAGCACACATGTTTTTTAGTACCAACTGGCTCAAGGAGCCACACTGGAAAAACACAATTGTCCCAGCTCAAGAGGAAGTCCGCCAAGAATATGGAACGAGGCATCAATAACAGCCTTTTGATCCATCGATCGATTTTGTCACATATCACTCCTGTCGCGTGCCTAATGTAAGGATCTCTCCTTCAGAACCAACAGCACTCAGAGATAATTATGTTGAGTCGTTTGGCTCGTATTGGTCTAAGGGATTCCCCGTGGCCAATATACGCTCAACTTATCTCTGGAGTAGGGCAACTCAAGTATTGGCACTACAAAATATATCAGTATATAAATACCATATTTCTAGGCACACTTGGCTGGACACCCCCACTACTTACTAAAGAAAGCCCCCAGGTTATGATAGTTCATTATCATAACCATGTTAACACATATAATGAAGATACATACATACACAACTGCTAAACACTTAAAAAGGTGAAATAGAGACACCTAAGTCAGCCATGAAAATGAATGCATGTAATCAATATAAAAAAGATATATAAAAGTGAGACAATTGCCAGATCTCCTAGGCTAGATCTCAGGATATCCTGTCCAAATCACAAAGATACTACACAGACAGAAGGTCTTGGAGATGACATCTTATCATCATTGGACAACCTAGGAGCTGTGAGGAATAAAGCACATAAGGTATCAAACTGCACTTAGCCTCTTTCTGTCTATGATGCCTCCCTCAGCTCCTGATGATTCGACTGTCTTTGACTCTGGTAATTCTGCTCAACTGGATCAGGTAGTGAAAGAGTACTTCACCATAGAAGACACAGCAACTGTACCGGTATTTAGCAAGTCTTTATCACCAGTAAGGACACACAATGTCTTTGAGCCACACTAAGCTCTAGCACTGGTAGCTGTTTGAGGTACCATCTCCCACATGTTGGAGATGTCAGGAACCTTCACAGGTGTTAGCTGGTGGGTCACAGTTTGTTTCTGGTGGTTTGATGGTTGGTGGATGTTGGTTGGACTGTGAATCTTCTGCCAGCTCTTCAGAAAAGATACATCCCAAGCATATGTAAAAACTGAGACATTCCAGATTGCCTTGAAAAGTGAAATTTATACAGGCACAGATTAACACATCTGGACGCTTGAGAAGCTGGCAAGGAGAATAGCGTCACTTAGACACTTCAGGCGTTGGTACAAAAGAAGTCCCTTGTATACTTGGGCAAGGAGTAAATCGGTTTCCACGAAACCTCAAATAACTCCCTTAATATATCTCCAAGAGATCTACATTTAAAAGTGGAGTTTAGTTAAAGTAACCAGAAAAGGCAGACATAATAATGTTGTCCAATACAGGCCTATATATATAGATATAAGGGACTATATATTTCTGGGCGAGTCCAAGTTTGAATTTTGTGCAGATTACAGGTAAGACAGGTTATCAGCCTTACAGACCGATGCGTAATGGCTATCATTTCACGACAGATTTGTGTTGTCCCCTCCAAGCTGTTACCTAAATGTTTACCATATCATCCAGAGATGACAAAATCTCAGCCTGCAGGGCAGAAGAACATGGCAGATCCCAGATACCCGGTTCAACCCCTCAAGAAGTTATCTACACCAGCCAGGTCAGGATCAACATCCTTTTAAGGAACAAACGACCATTTTTTTTAAAGGGTCACAAATTGGGCGTGCAGGCTCGTCTTACTTTCGACCCTTCCAAACACCTGTTTTTTTGCACAGCAGTAGTATTTTATCAATAAAGCATGCTATGCTGTTATAATAATATACATATTATGAATATCAAAAGAAAAACAAAATAATAGTGGTAAAATTCATGCACACACTAACATACATAACATGCATCAACATACATACATACATAATTACAGACAGACAGACAGACAGACAGACAGACAGACAGACAGACAGACAGACAGACAGACAGACAGACAGACAGACAGACAGACAGACCAGACAGACAGACAGACAGACAGACAGACAGACAGACAGACAGACAGGCAGGCAGGCAGACAGACAGACAGACACACACACGCACGCACGCACGCACGCACGCACGCACGCATGCATACATACATACATACATACATACATACATACATACATACATACATACATACATACATACATACATACATACATACATACATACATACATACATACATACATACATACATACATACATACATACATACATACATACATACATACATACATACATACATACATACATACATACATACATACATACATACATACATACATACATACATACATACATACATACATACATACATACATACATACATACATACATACATACATACATACATACATACATACATACATACATACATACATACATACATACATACACACATACACACATACATACATACATACATACATACATACATACATACATACATACATACATACATACATACATACATACATACATACATACATACATACATACATACATACATACATACATACATACATACATACATACATACATACATACATACATAGGTATATTCATTCATACGTACATGCAGACGCACACACACACACACTGACACACACAAAAACACACACGTACGCATTGACACATGCACACAGACTCACACACGCGCAGCCATACACATTCACACAGATACGCAGTCACACTGGCGTACACACGCAGACAAAAACATACATATACACACAAAGATACACGCAGACACACACACAGCAAAGACACACACACACACACATATGGACACACACACCCCTGCAGACTAATACAGAAACACACCCGCAGACATCACTCGCTGACACACACATTCAGACACACGGACACAAACATATACACACGCATAGACACACACAGACATGGACCGCAGACATACGCGCGCAAACACAGACATACATGCCCACACATGGGGCCGCGTTAGCGCAGTCGATAGGAGGCTTGCTTTTAAATCCAGCTGCGACTCTCTGCAGCCACGGTCGGTGTTCGAAACCGGGCGGTTCCCGGGGTTCACCCAGTCTCTAGAAAATGGGTACCAGAGTTGACACCCTGAGGTAAATGGAGGAACGTCGCTGTAGCTACAGAGTTACGTGTGAACGGCGACACAGGCAGACATTTTTTATCAGCTGTCCTTACTGGTGGCAGAGCACTTATGGTTTATAATCGTATGCAATGACGCTGGTTCACACCTCCTGACTTTACCTCTTTTACCTGTTTACAGACATACACACACATAAACACATGCAGACACACATAGAAAATGAAGAGCAGTTCATCCAAAGCATAGAAAGAGCACATAGACGATCCTTATATGTCTTGCCGAAGTAATTTTAAGAAGAAGAAGAAGAAAGAAGAAGAAGAAGAAGAAGAAGAAGAAGAAGAAGAAGAAGTCTTCCTAAGAAGGAAGAAGAAGAAGAAGAAGAAGAAGAAGAAGAAGAAGAAGAAGAAGAAGAAGAAGAAGAAGAAGAAGAAGAAGAAGAAGAAAATAATAATAATGATAATAATAATAACCAGAAGAAGAATTTAGCCTTCTGCAGGGAAGATCTGCATACAGTAACCGTTTCGATAACTCTGCTTGGACTTCCGGAATGAATGTTTGTCAACAAGAGAGCTCAAACGCAATCGTGTCTGTTTTTTTTAAAATTACCGTTACAGTGTTACTGTCAGCATACCCTTAAATTGGATCTTTTCCCGTACGACTATAGTATCTTCTATAAATCATCCTGATGGACAACAGAGAAATAACGCGACCCCTTGTACAAGCACCGATGGAATCACCTTTAAATTTAGTAAGTTATATATTGAGTGCTGTGATGTTGATTGGAATGATCCTAATTCAAAATTCAGCTTAAGACGTGTTAGTTGGAACAGAACTTAGTCGTAGATTGAGGTGACCCTAAATATATGTATGTGTGTGTCTGTGTAATTATGTCATGCTTGTTTGAAACATTTAAATACAATATAAGATTATCTGCAAATATCAGAGTTTGTGCTGGTGAGATGGATTGTTCCTCTAGTCTAGTTTTGCACTCGTTCCCTTATCCATCTTCTGAACTGAAAAGCTGATTTTCTCCTTTATCCAACTGATAGGCTATCTGATGTATGCCATTGGGGTGGGGATGTTATTTGTTTATTTTATTGTGTCACAGTTCTAGCTGTGCATAGGTTTTTAAACTGTTATTGGGCTTGTATGCAGTGCAGACCTGATAATAGTGATAAGGAGAACTCACCAGGGACAAAAGAAATTGTTCTTCATATCAGAAATTCCTATTATCCGGATAAAGGTTCAAGCAAGACAAATTGTGGGGATAAACAATCTATTCTTTATAAATGAAATTCATCAGATCCGAGATGATCCTAAGCGTTTGGCATTATAATAAGTTGACATTAAGCATTTCAATTATTTGCTTCAGAATAAATGCACCATGTTTCTAACACTGTAATCTATTTACAGGCTCACATGTTTAGTAGGCGGGCAGACATGCTTACAAAGAATCGGAAATATGAAGAAGCTTTGAGCTGTCATCGTAAAGCTGCTGGTAAGGGAAAAACAGGTTATTTGGAACATTTTGGTTCATAAGAAAACATAATTTAACCAGACTGGTTGGTGAGGCTTCTAAAAGTCCTATCTCTGAGGCATCTGTGGTTCAAGCATTGTGAACATGCTTCATAATTTCAAGTTACCAGGTTTGATTCCAGCTGTAGGCGATTGGGTGGCAGACCTCACTGCATTGATATTGACAGTTGTATCAAGAGACTGACCATTTGGAAAGCAAAGGCAAACTACTAAATATCAAATTACCTAGTAAACCCCAAAAATGCTGGTATCAGTTATACAATGTCCTGTAAAGGCTACACACCTAAGTTAAGTCTGAGACATTTAGGTATTTGACCCCTATATGAGTTTGCAGGTAATCAGACTGAAATTTATATGAGAACTTTCTTGTCACTTATTACCAAAATACCATCTCCATGGACACTGTGCTGCAGAGCTCTTTTTTCCCCCTGCAAGTCATGAACTAGCAAGATGTACAACACTGGTAGAGGTACCACATGTTCTGAGATGTATACTTTGATGTGACCAGGTCATGATTCAGGACAACATAAACAGCAAGCGCTTAGCGCCTGGCCCATTGTGTTTAATGATGGCTGTGCTACAAGATTAGCAGATGGGGGTAATAGATTTAGTTTTAATTTCCAGTACTAAGATGCAGAGGTGCATCACTAAAGGTGTTGGTTTTGAACCAGAGCTCAGACTTTTCAAGACCCGCCTACAGGTCTTGGTTGTCACCCTAGAAACACACATTTGCTACCAAGGATCTGGCCAGTGTAGATACCTGGGTGTAACCAGAGGGTCTGGCCAGCTCACTACACTCGGGGAAAGGCAACACACAACCAGATTGTGACCGGTACCATCAGTATTGGAACTCTGTGTTGGCTGCTGAAGATGAAGTTGGAGAACACAAAAAAGAGTGGGAATGCCCTGAGTGCTGTGATGTCAATTCTTGACAACTCAACTCAGCTGGCCAGTGTAGACAGGATTAGTGTTTCCTTCAAAGTCATAGCAAATCTGACTGAGAGGTGAGAAACCACAGTCTGTGAAAGGAATTTGCATGCAGTCCTAGAGCAAAACCAAGTCCAGACCTGGACAGACAACCATACATTTCTGCTGGTGAAGGCAAAAGAAGAAAAATTTGCAGTACAGAGGTGTATTCCCCTTCCCCCACCCTTTCCCCTTTTGTTTTCCTTCCAAGAAACTGGGATGTTCTCGAATCACTGGAGAGTAATTGTCTGATGTTGGCTACATTCATCCTAAAGGGGAAAATCATTGAAGTGAAGCTTAGATACCCATTCATATAATATACATGCAGTAAAGATATAGGTCTCCTGACCCTGCAGCCAGTAACGTATTTAGTCAGGAAATCCAAACATTTGCTAAAACCTTGTGGCTGATGAGGAAACAATTGACACATTCTAGCATTTACATCACTGCACAAAGCTATCACTCATCATAATTTTTCTTATTTTGAGAGCATGCATCTTCCCTGTGGTTACATATGGATGTGAGTCATGGACTATCTCTGTCTTTAAAAAAGAGAATAAGGGCTTTTGAGCTGAAATGCTATAGAAAGAATATCGTGGACAAAGAAGATGAGAAATATTGACATCTTAAAAGATCTGAACATCAAGGAAGATTGGCTAATAAACACCATCCTTTCTCGAAAGCTGAAATATTCTGGTCATATCAAGCGCCATGACGGATTGGAAAAAATTATAGCAGAAGGCGTGGTAGCAGGAAGGAGGGGCAGGGGCCGACCGACCCGAAGATGGGCACAGGATATAAGTGACTCCTTGGATGTGAAAGTGCATGAGGCGGGATAACTGGTGAGAGATAGGCAGACTGTGATGAGAGCGACATTCTACAAAGGATCTGCTACATGATGATGATGGTGAATTAGTTTCTTATGTTGTTATGGCCCTTAAAGTCGATGTTACGACACTTTGGATGTCGTCAATATTGTGAAAGAGGTGTTCTTTAAATCGTAACTATAATTTTGGGAATAGAAAATAATCACATGAAGACAAATCTGGGGAATATGGTGGAAGGCTGAGAACATACACACTTGTTTTTGGGCCAACAATTTTTTGTTTTGATGATGCCTCTTGGGAACTCTACCCACTGATGTTTATGATCATCAGACAATGAATGTGGTACAAACCGACAAGCAACTTTTTTCTTGCCAAAATCTTCCACTAATATGTTATGATTGGTCTCTCTGCCATCATCCTCACAGTAAAACAATAATCTTCTTGTATCTGTTCTCTGACTTTTGCAATGAGTTCATCATTACGAACAGAAATTTGGCATTTTGGTCTATGTGCATTAGAGTAGAAAAAGAGTAGAACTTAGAAAAAGTGCCAATAAAACAGTTTAACTACTCGTGCTGCCTGCTCACTCCCAAACATGCCTACATCGCCCAGGAAAAATATCTATGTGACTGTCACCATCTGCGTCCTCTGGATTGATACAACCTGTTCATATAAAGAACCCTGCCAATAACTCTACTCTTTTTCTAAGAGGTGATGAAACATGACTGTCTATAATTATTGGCAGGGTGCATGCTGTCAGGTTTTCTTTATATGAACAGGTTGTATCAATCCAGAGGACGCAGATGGTGACAGTCACATAGATATTTTTCCTGGGCGATGTAGTTCCTGAGTGAGCAGGCAGATAGGTTGGCAGCACTGGCCATAGTTGAGGTTGTCCTGCAACTTCATAAGGCAGAGGGGATCTCTAGCCTGTGGGACAAGATAACCAGTGGGACAAGATAACCAGTGGGACAAGATAACTAGTGGGACAAGATAACTAGTGGGACAAGATAACCAGTGGGACAAGATAACTAGTGGGACAAGATAACCAGTGGGACAAGATAACTAGTGGGACAAGATAACCAGTGGGACAAGATAACCAGTAAAATGGAAAGTAAAGAAAACCAGTACCTGGAGAGAATAAAGCAGTGATGAGTGTCTGCAGGCTCTAGGCACCACTTATGACTCATGGATTGGGCAAGACGAGTAGTTAACCAGATGACAACAGCTACCATCCGTGTGGAGACTCTTTCGCTGGCTTTTGAGGATGGAGATGGAGATAATATGGGCTTTCAAAGCTGTGATGTTGAATCTGTATCCCCATGAACCCAGGACACATGATGATGCTGTATTTGCTTTTGTACAATGTTAATAATCAATATTTTGTGTCTCTGTACAGAGTGCCTGCTTCAGGCCATGCATACAGCATCCTGCCCCACACTCCTGGACTCCTTGGCCCTACAACATAAAGTCTACCTGTCCCAGATTGAGAGACTGCAAGCAAAAAGCCAGCTCTTTGAGCTGATGGATCGCAACAACAAAACCACAGCCACCATCAGTCGAGCCACTCAGACAGACAGCATACATACAGTAGAGACAAGCGAGCAGACGACAATTGATGAAGATGAGATTTACCAGACTTTACGAGAAAACGATGATTTGCTCAACCGCATTGGTCTCCGGAATTTGGAGAAATCAGACTGCAGCCAGTTGTCGATAATTAGTTACAAGTCTAGTATTTTATCAGAAGGAGATGCCGTGGATGTCATCAACAATGATAAGAGCACAGTTACATCCAAAATGTTAAAACCAGATGGCACTACCCTAGGAGATGGCTTTGTTTCCATGGAAGAAATAGTCAAGATGAATGAGAAGTTAAGTCAGGCAGTTCGAAGCTTGTTGCAGGATCTTGGCTCAACAAAGGCTGAGAAAAAACAGATGGAGGAAAAGCTCGGAGAAAGCCAAGAAATACTCAGACAAGGTTCTGAGGCTTTAACATTTTCAAGCTTGAACCTTCCCCCATTAGAAGCTTCCTATCCAGAACTAGCTAACTTTAATATTCAGTCTTGATCACTGTATTGCCAGCTTGGGCTTCTATGCTTTAATGGAGAATAACTGATGTTTATCCTGTAGCAAATCCTTTACAGGATGCTGCTGTTATTCTGGCCTTCTGGAAAGATTCTTGGTCTCCTACCGGATGCCCTTCCTCAGATATTTTCATGCCCAGGGTATCTCAGAGGTCCTGTGTCCACCTACTTCTGTTCACCCTCTGCCTCTTCTACCAGATTCTTCTTTGTAAACCACTTCACATTTAACATGGCTGAAGTTTTTGAATTTCTGGACATGATTCTGTTTATGAGCTCATTGTCTTTGATGTTTAGATATGTGGAATGTTGGTTTTCTGATTCTTCATATTCTAAGAATTGTTCATTACCATTGACGTTCAAAAGTCATGATTCTCTCCTTTAGTTATTGTGAAATGGTCCATTCTGACATGTGTATATTGTCTTAGGAAACCTGCAGTTTCTCATAATGTTTATTAAAGTTTAGAAACAGATTTTGATCTTCACTCTGCCTCTTGGCAGACATGATTAACTATTTTAATCTCTGTACACTGTTAAAAAATGTGTCCAGTTTGTACATTTTGCAATATCATTTTGTTTTCAAGGTGCTGTGATAGTTTTATAGCTAGCGTTGATTAGTGGCAGGATAGAAGCATGTATAAGGATATAAAATTATTGAATTTCAGTTTATAATTGGTTATAGAATCACATTGAGTAGCCTATGAAATGTAGTGCATTTTTGGCAAGCTCATTGTGTCTGTCCTAAGATATGCTTTTCTAAATATCATTCTACAGATACACAATTATTTATGTTAGCTATTTTTAAAAGGTGCCATCTGTTGTTAATTATTTATGACGGAATTCTTAGTCAGATATGACTGAGCTACCATATAACAGTAATCATGAATACCTGTTCTCAATTAACCCTGTTGGGCGGGCTATAGCGATTATGACATCTCACTTGTGCCCCTGACTTTCAACAGAGAAGCACATTATGAAGAGAAGCAGATTAGAAAGAGGAGCACATTAGAAAGAGGAACACATTAGAAAGAGGAACACATTAGAAAGAGGAACACATTAGAAAGAGGAACACATTAGAAAGAGGAACACATTAGAAAGAGGAGCAGATTAGAAAGAGAAGCACATTAGAAAGAGGAGCACATTAGAAAGAGGAACACATTAGAAAGAGGAACACGTCAGAAAGAGGAACACATTAGAAAGAGGAGCACATAAGGAAGAGGAGCACATTAGGAAGAGGAGCACATTAGGAAGAGGAACACATTAGGATGGGCACTAGCCTTATCCTAGGATAAGGAACTGCAGCCTGACAACTAATGTTTTGGCAGGTCAGACAGGCCCTTAGCCTTCATTGACTGCTAGTCTAGGAGGAATGATCCAAAACAACTCCAGGAGTAAACCCTTAATTGGTATCTGAAAGCTCAACTTCTCTTGATTGCTTTCTGGCACTGTTTGATGATGAAGTACAGACTCTCTGCAGGATGCAACAAATACGCATGCCACGTTGAAGAAGACACAGAACAATCCTCCTCGCAAATATTCTGTCTTTGTCAGCTGGACTAATCTTGGAATATATGAATTTTATAAATTCAGTGTGGTGCTGATGGCAACGGGAATCTACAAAAGTCCAAGAATACGTGATTATTTCTCCACATGAAATGCATTCAGCTCCAGTTTTTATGCACGGACCTTCAGTCGGAACAGATTTCTCAGCACATTCCAAACATTGCTTCATGTTGGAAAGCCTGATGCAGATGGAAAACTGAAAATTGAGCCCTTTATTGAAAAATTCCTAGCACAGTTTCAACTGGCTTTCACCGCCTACCAAGATAGTGCCATTGATGAAATGATTGTGGGTTCAAAGGAAGATGGCAGTATAAGCAATACAATGACACAAAGCCTTCCAAGTATCACATCAAAAGCTTTGGGTTGGTAAACAGTAAAACCAGTTATGTTGTCAATCTGCTGACATACTATGGAAGCACTACATCCTACAATCCAGCCAATGAGAATAAAAGCAGCCACTCCATACAGGTCTTTGACACATTGCTAAGGCCACTGGGAACTGGAAACCATATTTTTGCAGACCTCTACCACACAACGAGAGTGCTCGTTGACCACCATTGCAGCTAGTCTGTATATAACTGTACAAAGTAAATATTGTGTGTGTAATCGTCCACATTTTTGCCATTTTGTCACTGAAATATTTTTAAGCACTCTGTAAGAACTTAGAGCCTCTGAGTGCTAAACTGACCCAGGAACTTATCATAACTTTGGAATTTGTTAGAGAATTGAATAGACTTTGAAGTGTTGTTCTCAAATTTGGATATTCACTACTCGTGTGGCTGCACAACTAAGGTAAATGAAGAATTTGTTTGCAAAATATTGTTGTTGTAAAATTAACAACTGCAGAATTCTTTTTTCCTACTAACTATAACAAAATTAAACATACATTTATCATCAGATTCAAAATATACATTCATTTCTCTTAAAACAAATATGTACTTTTATAGGGATTAGAAGTATATTACATTCTCTATTGCCTTTCTTGTACACATCCCCCTCTGCCATTTTTTGTAAAGGTAAATTAATGTGGGTCAAGTCTGTCAAAATTCATGGGCCTGAAAGAGTTAAAGTGACGTTTGTACATATGCCTTTAAATCTAAATCCTATAATAACAGGCGCATTTAATTATAGATTAGGAACACATTTTGAACAAAATGTATCTCTGTACTTTCAGTTTCCGTTGTTGTGAAATCTTTCTCTTTTTAATCACATTTTGTTGTGTGTGTGTGGGTGGGGGCATGAGTGTCCTGCCATTTACTCAAGAGGTGTTAGGGGCTTGCGGTATTCGTAAGGGTTTGTGGGGGTCTTCTCATATTCTCAAGGGTGGCGCGACCTGAAAAAGGCTAGAAACCACTAGTCTAGAAAGACAGAAAGGTGCCAACAAACTTTGTCTTCTTCTTTCATTTGCTTGAAATAGATTTCTATATCTACAATATCTACTAGGAACTTCAACGTCATTTGTAATTCACTTAGCGACATGTAAAGTAGTAACAAACATGACAGTATTATCTTACAGAAAATCTTGATTGGTGACATTTGTTGGTTATATTTGTGAGCTTCAAAGGTGCCCCAAAGTTTGTTCTGGATGTGTTTACCCTCTGGCCTTATCAAAGAATAGTAGCACTGGACATGCATGATAAAAGGTAGCCAAGGAGGGTAGCTGTGAGATGGGCTATCTCATGCCATGGAACATATCGCTGCAACATCGCCCCTTGTGCTTGCTAAGTTGGTTAAACCAGCTGTGAGATGGGCTATCTCATGCCATGGAACATATCGCTGCAACATCGCCCCTTGTGCTTGCTAAGTTGGTTAAACCAGCTGTGAGATGGGCTATCTCATGCCATGGAACATATCGCTGCAACATCGCCCCTTGTGCTTGCTAAGTTGGTTAAACCAGCTGTGAGATGGGCTGTCTCATGCCATGGAACATATCGCTGAAACATCGCCCCTTGTGCTTGCTAAGTTGGTTAAACCAGCTGTGAGATGGGCTATCTCATGCCATGGAACATATCGCTGCAACATCGCCCCTTGTGCTTGCTAAGTTGGTTAAACCAGCTGTGAGATGGGCTATCTCATGCCATGGAACATATCGCTGCGACATCGCCCCTTGTGCTTGCTAAGTTGGTTTAAACCAGCTGTGAGATGGGTTATCTCATGCCATGGAACATATCGCTGCAACATCGCCCCTTGTGCTTGCTAAGTTGGTTAAACCAGCTGTGAGATGGGCTATCTCATGCCATGGAACATATCGCTGCAACATCGCCCCCTTGTGCTTGCTAAGTTGGTTAAACCAGCTGTGAGATGGGCTATCTCATGCCATGGAACATATCGCTGCAACATCGCCCCCCTGTGCTTGCTAAGTTGGTTAAACCAGCTGTGAGATGGGCTATCTCATGCCATGGAACATATCGCTGCAACATCGCCCCTTGTGCTTGCTAAGTTGGTTAAACCAGCTGTGAGATGGGCTATCTCATGCCATGGAACATATCGCTGCAACATCGCCCCTTGTGCTTGCTAAGTTGGTTAAACCAGCTGTGAGATGGGCTGTCTCATGCCATGGAACATATCGCTGAAACATCGCCCCTTGTGCTTGCTAAGTTGGTTAAACCAGCTGTGAGATGGGCTATCTCATGCCATGGAACATATCGCTGCAACATCGCCCCTTGTGCTTGCTAAGTTGGTTAAACCAGCTGTGAGATGGGCTATCTCATGCCATGGAACATATCGCTGCGACATCGCCCCTTGTGCTTGCTAAGTTGGTTAAACCAGCTGTGAGATGTGTTATCTCATGCCATGGAACATATCGCTGCAACATCGCCCCTTGTGCTTGCTAAGTTGGTTAAACCAGCTGTGAGATGGGCTATCTCATGCCATGGAACATATCGCTGCAACATCGCCCCCTTGTGCTTGCTAAGTTGGTTAAACCAGCTGTGAGATGGGCTATCTCATGCCATGGAACATATCGCTGCAACATCGCCCCCCTGTGCTTGCTAAGTTGGTTAAACCAGCTGTGAGATGGGCTATCTCATGCCATGGAACATATCGCTGCAACATTGCCCCTTGGGCTTGCTAAGTTGGTTAAACCAGCTGTGAGATGGGCTATCTCATGCCGTGGAACATATCGCTGCAACATCGCCCCTTGTGCTTGCTAAGTTGGTTAAACCAGCTGTGAGATGGGCTATCTCATGCCATGGAACATAACGCTGCAACATCGCCTCTTGTGCTCGCTAAGTTGATTAAACCAGCTGTGCGGCGACCGGGTGAACAACTCCTTGTGGTCCGAGTTTGCGCTCGGGGTAGGCAGAAAAGCCACACATTTTTCCAGATTTACGGTATCTATCATAAAATCAAGGCCAAATGGTTGCAATATCTATAATACAGAGCCAAAGGGTTAACAACTCTTGGTTTCTGGATATAAAATTT